TACAGTACTTACTGTAAATTTGGTGGAATTATTTGGAATTTGCTTTAACAAAAAAATAAAAATAAAAATCATCTCCTGCCTCTAAACCAGAACATTTGAGAAACTTTTTTGAATATTGGAGGAAAGTACAAGATTCCCAGGGGAATACACTTGTAGCCTCTACTTCCCCTGTGTAGAATGGAGTTTATTTTCTACCTAGGAAGACTTATACAATTTTTGGATTCTCCTCAGCCTGGTGAAGAGTGTACATGCCCAAAAGCTTGCAAAGAAAGGAATTGTTTTTCTGCTATTTAGTTGGTAAAAGATATTGCCTCTGACCCAAGAGCTTTGAGTTGCTCTATGAGATAACACTTGAGAACAAATTTGGAATAAATTTTAAATTTAAAAACAGAGATGAGTAGAAGATACTGAGATTTGTGTTATGCAGAATTCTAGGGAAAAAAGAGGGGTGAATGATTATATAGAGATGAAGAAGCATGAAAGCTTAACATTTGACAGAAATGTAAAGGGACTGTCAAAGACTGAAAGGAAGAGAGAGAAAACAACACAAGACTGCTGTGGACTTTGACTTGAGTTAAGGTGGCACTGTTGATGGAAGATAGATATCTGTCTTTATTATTTAGGGGATTGGATGTAACTTTATTTGTCAAATATGTGTTTTTGATAAATTGGAGTTATTAATAAAGTTAATAAAAGGGGGGAAGGAGTGAGACTTACTGCACATCAGGTTGATTTAACATGATTAGCTTATCTGTCTACTTTCTTCCTCAGTAAGTTGAAGCTAAGCCATGATAACCTAGCAATTGTTTTATTCAGGGTTAAACTGTCCAGTTTAGCTTCCACTTACCACAGGATACTGCAGACAAACAAATGCTAGAGTGGATCAGGTGATATGAGGTAAATCCTTCCTCTTTTTAAATCAGTGGAATTGTTTAATCTGTTCATATTCTCCATATCTTACTTTAAGACTTTTCTAGTAACTGAGGATGTAACACAGTAGATGTTATCCTTAAATGGAAATGCTGTCTCATATTGGTGTAATACTTGGTGGACTTAAACATATACAAATTTAAAATATTGCATCAAAAGTTTTGTCCTCATTTGCAAAATGTCATGCATCACATTTTCCCAAAGAACCTTGTCTGCCTATGTCCTTAGACCAACATGGCTACAACCAACAACCCTAATGCATTTCTTTAATGCATTTCAAGGCAAGCATTTCAGCACACTTCAAATGAACAAGCAACGAAACAGCAGCTCAGTAAAAGAGGCCTACAATAACCCAGGAAGGGTATGCACATAAAGGAAACCATTCTGATTGCTAGTTAAAGCTGCTAGGAGTCTCTGCACAGCAAAATATGAATATGCTTTTGTGGTCTATGCATTTACATCAAATGAAGTTAAATTCCACATTTATTTAAGAATGTATGCAGCATTGCGTTGAAAAGAATCAGCACATATATTTGCTGTAAACCATTTTGTTCCACCCATTTTATACTGTAAAAAGCTATTATGACAAAAAATATTAAAGCGTATCCATACATTTGGTTTAACCTGTAATAGAATGGGTCAGAACTGATCAGACCCGTAGTGGCCAACAAGGTAGCAATGTAAATGTAAAGCAAAATATTGGCTTTTGACACAGGAGTTGATAACTGTTTACATAAACTGCTAACTGTATCCTAATGTCAAATGTCCTAGATAAGAAAGAAAAAAGCAATATAGCTCTTAAAACAGTTCTTTGTACTCTAAAGAGCTGGCTTCAGCTTTGGCATTCATTGCCTGGAATACTTATTAGTGCATACTTCAGTGCTGTCTATCTTAGACTGAATTTATTGTTTTAATCCACTCCAATCCTTTTTCAACATATGCATCACAAGATCATCTACTTGGTCCCAAATTCAGGAAAGTATTTATGCATGTACTTAAGTGCTTTCTTGGACCTTACTGCATACATATTATCCTCCTAAGGCTCTGTGTTAATCTTTGTTTAGGAAGATAGCAGTTCAAAAGTCTCCTGTGAGGAACAGAACACTTCAAGAATTTCTTTCCCTTTCAAAAAGTAAAATAAACTTGCCTAAAAACACAGGCAACTTGACGGCTTAATTATGTAACCAAACATATATTTTGCCTATTTTTACTCTGCCAATTTATCTGTCAGTGCATACATACACTTCTTGATACTCTGCTAATTTATCTCTAAGTGCGTACACATACACACACACATCTTCTTAAAAGAGGACAATGTTGAAAGTTGCAATAAGAAAAAAAAGAAAGCTCAGCTGTGCTTGAATTTGCACTCAAAGCAGAACAAAGACACACCTTCAGATCAGGTGCAGATAGACCTGTTGCTGTATGTAAACTTATTGTGAAGTTATCCATTCAAGATATCCATTCAAGAGAATGTTGTGATTTAAGCCCTGCAATTAAAGGAAGTGAATATTAAACACTGAGACTAGAGACAGAAGTTACACGTAAACTGCGTTAAGTGATTAGAAACTGGTTTAAATATGTAACAGAACAGAAGCTCAGTGCATGTAAACCAGTTTCAAAATGACTGACACTGGTTTAAGATGAACCTAGTTGAATGTAGAATCAGCCTTAACTGATTTGGATCAAACTGGTTTATGAAAGTTCTGTCCCAGACCCCTTCCTGGTTCAAGTTGAATCACAGTCTTCCAGCATCCCAGGGTGCTTTGCAACCCCGGGCTGGGCTGGGCTGGGCTGGGCTGTCTGCTCAAGCAGAGCAAGCCTGGCCCTGCCCCTCTGCTCCCTAGCCAGAGCCATGAGGATTGGCTAACAAGGGGGTGGGGGTAGGAAACCCAGCTCTCCACTCGAGTGGCAAACCCTGAACTTTCCCGCTAGCTAGAGTAACAAATTAGACTCATTACTCACATTCAGAGAAAATAGTTCACTGTATCTTATGTTCCATCCAGCTAAACGTTTTCCCTTTAAATATTCTCCCCCTCAAAGGTATTCCCTTCTACAGTGTTACTTAGTCTTTTCTCTGCCCTCATTCATCTCTTTTGCAGCAGGTTTCCTCTTTCCTGTTCTGTCTCAGCTCTCTGTCTCTATTGTCACTTGAACTGGCATCAAACAGTCAGATCACAGTGCCTTGTGTCTGCCCACAGAGGCAGAGTGTGAGAAGCAGCTTTGGTTCTTTGGGTAGATGTGATATCTTTTATTAGACCAACTGAATAGTTTGAAAAATTGTTCTTTGCAAGCTTTCAGGCACAAATATCCTTTTTCAGGCATAGAGTCTGCTGGTGCTTGTGTGCTGTCCTGGGTAGAATAGAAGGCAATATGCAAAATGCAGGTCTGTGAAAAAGCAAATGCATGGCAGTGAGGATCAGAGGAAATGGGGAGACAGTGGGTGTGAGACAGGTAGGTGGGGGGAAGGGGGAATATTGACCTGGTGACAGAGTATAGCTGGTAAAGTGCAGACAGGTTATCTGGGGTTATCAGATGGCAGCGTTCCCCTACGTTAAAGGGACAGGCACGTTGCAAAGGCTCCAGCCCCTCAGCAGCATCAAGTCTACCAAAGCACATGCACACAGCTGAGAGCAAGGGTGTGGTCATGCCTGGGGCCAGGGCCAGTGCACTGAGCTGGGGAAGTGGGGTTTAAAACTCCTCCATGGTTCTGGACCCCAGCCAGGGTTTGCTTGTGGGGGGCAGTCCCAGGATTTGCAATGAAACGAAGTATGGATGAAGAGATGGGGAACAAGGTAAGAACCCTGAAGGATCACCATAGAAAACTAAAGTAGGGGATGAATTGGATCCACCAAAAGATGTGCTGAAGAAGCTGTTGGGGAGAGAGGCTACAGGAGAAACAGGAAAGGACAGTAATGAAAGCCAGGGAGACCAGTATTTAGAAAATGGAGTCAAACTTGTAGAATCATCGAGGAGGATGATAAGGAAGGCATACCAGTGTGATATTTGACAAGGAAGAAGTAATTGGGACCTTCTGAGAACAGTTTCAGTGGAGTATAAATAATAGGGCTGTGCGAAGCTTCGGTCCCTGATTTGATTCAATGGAGATTTGGCCCGATTCAGTGGCCGAATCTCTGAATCCGAATTGAATCAGAGGACCCTTTAATCTTTCTGAATCAAATCAAATCTCTCCAAATTGATTTTTAGGGTTTCAGAAAGATTTGAAGATTCAGACATAGACACAGCTTTAAAAGTTTTTTCTACATACCTCTAGGTTACAGGCCGCTTGTGAATGTTGGGAAGCATTGTCCCACAGAAATGCAGGGGGAGGGGGGTCCCCAGCACACTTGGCAGCAGACCCGGAAATGGACCAGAAGCACTTCTGGTCCACTTCTGGGTCTGCCAGGGAGCACCCTGGGGGGCTCCCCCATGCCCCAGCTTGGCGACTGGTGCCTTCTGGCTCTGAGGGGGGCACCTAGGGTCCCCCCATGGCCGATTGCTGAGCTGGGGTGGGGGAGCCCAGTGTGCTTCCTGGTGGACCCAGAAGTGGACTGGAAGTGCTTCTGGGTTCACTGCTAAGCACATTGGGGGGGGGGGGCTGCAGTCCTGTGGGATGACCCCAGGATCACAGCATTCACAAGCCATGCTGGTACCTTGAGGTATGTAGAAAAAACATTTAAAGCTGTGTCTATGACTGAATCCCTGATCCTCTGAATCAACATTGAATCTTTAGATTTGGATTTGGCCAAATCAAATCAGGGACAGTGATCCAAATCAACGAATTGATCACTATCTGTCATTCAGGCCAAATCTGAATCTGAATTGAATAGGGCCCACGTTGCACACTGCTAATAAACAATAGAAGGTTGGTAAATCTAAGATTAGAGCTAAGATTACAGGTGAGAACCTCCAGACCATGCATTCTGTAAAGTGAGGGAAAGACATGTGGAGTCGAAGGTTAATTTTTTAAGATGGGGAGCCTAAAGCATCCAATAACTGCGTAAGAGTGTGATGTTTGCAGTAAGAAGGAGTGTTTGTGATGTGATCATTGTGCTGGGGCCAGAGTACAATGTAAGGTGAAGAAGAGGAGTAAAGGAGGAGATGAGAGGAGGCACAAGGGGCATCAACTAATAGGATAGAAGATCATCATTGGGCAAAAAGAGGGGCTAGTAGAAAAGAGCAATTTCTGACAGGAAGAAAGAGAAAATTGAAGGTAGGGAAGAAAGATGAGCTGAGTGTAGGTGACAGGTAACATCATAATGGATGTTCATTTGGAAGAAATAAGTGAGATGTATAGTGTGAAGTGGAGACAGGAGTATTCATGATATGTAGTCTACAGCATCAAACCATCATAAAATGCTTTGCTATGAAGAACTTATCTTAAGAGATATAGGTATACTGAATTCATTACTGGGAAGCATTCAATTTGTGAGTAATTAAAATGCATTCAATTTTCTGCACTTAACTTGCTAGGGAACAACTAGGCCATATAATACATTGCTTGAACTGGTTTGTGCTTTGAAGCCATGGAAAGAATTGGAATTCTCATACCAGAATTCTTAGCCCTATCCGGTTAATTTCTCCACCATATCAGCTCATAAAGCTTTCTCTGTTATTTTACAGTAACACAGCATGTTCTTCAACTATTATGTCTCAAAAGTAAGCTTAGATGTTTGGGAGAAATTTGTCAAAAGGATTATTGATTGAATCTGTAAACTTATATCTGAAATTTTGCTCAGGTGAATAATTTGTTGCCACCCTAAAAGACTTCTGAATGCAGATTTAAAACCTGCTTCTACAGTATTTTCAGCACACGTATATCTCTGTACACTTCAGTACTACACTTCAGTTTTAATAAACTAGTCATGCATAAAAGTTCCTCATATGCCCAAATAAGTTTTTGCAAAATCAGGGATTTAGAATTGCAAGTTTGGTTCTTGACAGGCCATTACAATTGGAACAGGATGAATACAGAAGAGGAGGACTATGACTATGTAACACACCCAATTTGCTAACTATGATCTAAATGAACATTTCACTTTATTAAATGGCTGTTGTAAATAAGCTGCTGATTATCTCACATTCACATTGTCACTGTTTTAAGCTTTAATTATTAGAACTATGATGGGCTAGATTTACCCTGGAATTTAAGTTCCCACTGAATTTTTTTAAAGTACTTGAGTGCCTAATTCCTAACCTAACTAGTTAGGCAGCTTTGTAATTCCCAGTAAACATTTACTTGCAACTTTAGAGCTAAGTACAGGCAGTCAAAAAGCCCAAGGCTGAATTGATTCAGTCTTTGCAGGTTAGTCTAAGCTGCAGAGATTAAACTGAGAAACAACTGGACAGACATTCACTTTCCATTCAGGAAATGCAGCCACATGCCTTTAATGGCTGAGGCCAGAAGCCAGGGGGCGCTATAGCATGAATTTCTGGCACATAGCCAGGATGGGCTGTGTGTTCACTTCCTCTTCCTGCTGGCCCCAGAGTCTCTGTGATTTGCAGTCCAGAATTGCAGCATCAGGACACTGCAAGGTTGCACATCACTTCTTCCTGCTGCCAGGTGCCTCTGGGATTTGTAGTTCACAGCCTCAGGCAGCAGTAAGTTTCAGTAAGTTTAGCAGCAGGGCAGCTCTATACTTGGGGGATGGTGGATTTAACGGTCCCTCCCTGACCCCAGACCTCAGCCAGGGTTTGCTGGGTGGGGGAGAGGTGGGGGAGCAGCCCCTGCCTTTCCCCCTCTCCCTTTCCCCTTAAACCCTTCTTTGCTCAAACAGACAGCACAGCAGAGCACATCTCAGGGCTGGAAACATTGTTGAGATGCTGGGGGACTATAAATTAGCTTGAACCAGGAAGGGGTCTGGGACAGGCATTTCATAAAATGGTTTGACCCAAATCCGTTAAGTCTGATATTGCATTCAACCAGGCTTATTTTAAACCAGTGTCAGGCAGTTTGAAACTGGTTTATGTGCACTGAGCTTGTGTTCTGTTACAGGCTTAAACCAGTTTCTGATGACTTGAACCAGTTTATGTGTAACTTCTGTCCTTAGCCTAGGTGCCTTATGAAAATGTGGTCTATTGGGCCCAAGTGCTGCGATTGGAGATCTGGATCTGAACTTTTTCAGACACTATTTTGAGGGTGTTTAGAACTTGGAGTTGACCTTGCATTGTCAGAGATTAGACCAGTGATTACATTTTTGGTACTGAAACTTGATTTCCCTAAAATCTGATTGTTTGTAGATCCAAGGTTTTAGTTTGAACTTATCCCTAATAAATTTTATGATGATTTTTTTATACGAGCTCCAAAACCTCCTGAAGTATTTTTTGTTACACAAATGTTTAATTTTTTTAGCCAACTGATTTGAGTTTCACTTCCCTTGAATATATTAAATATAACATTACAAAATATACCCATTTTACAAAACTATCTCAAAAGACCACAGTTGCTATAGGCTGGATAATCTCTGAGGCTGAACCACATCTGGGTCTGTGTGTGTACTTCAACTATCTCTGCATGGACCTTCTGTTATGACTGGCTTCTTTGGGCAATGCAATGACAGACAGTAACAAATGCTAATGTACATTACCCTGCACGATGCTTTTAGAATATGTTAAGGTATTTTCTACTACTTTTCAGAGAGATGTAAGTGAACATCTCTCTTCTTTTTAGCAATTTCTTTTTCTAGGTTGGAACCTTTTCAGGAAAGCACATTAACAGGTGTTTAACTATTTTAATCAACCAAGATGGACTATAGCACAGTAAGCTTTCCTGAATGGGGGCCAATAAAGGGATAAAGGTTTGCTTACAACTAGTGAGCATTGTATACTTGGAATGAGTTATATTAGAATAAGCCATTTTTTTTCACTTTATCTTTCTTATTCTTCTCCTTTTCAAGTGCCCTTTCTCAAGCATTAGGTCAGCTGGTTAAAGTTTCCTTATTCCCCAGAGGATAGTTTTGTTGGTGCAGAGGCTTAACTTGAAGTGGCATTTTACTTCCATGCTGGCCCATTTTTACTTTTCACCACCTGATTATACCTAGAAATGAATGTATGTGAGTGGGGGCTGAGCCCCTCCCTGACCACACTTACCACATGAAGTCTCTTTGCATTGATATTTCAATCCAATTTATTTTAGGTTGTTTTTCCTTGGGTAAAGGGCCTCTGGTCAGAGGAAAGGACCCAATGAAATGCAAAATAAACACCAGGATACATAAAGGCCAGAAAATAAAATAAATGAGTTGTCCTTGTATTTTC